CTCACATGTCTCTGGAAGTGTAACGCATCAACCTATTTTCGCATAAAGTTCCTGGAATCTATGTCATCGAAGATAGACTTCCAACGACTCTGTTGGCAAGAGACCACAGGGTGCGCTGCAGGGCTAAGGCCCGCCAAGTGCAGGGCATGCGTTGGCTCGCCAAGTCTTCGGTACAAGCGCATTCTTTGCCACACTGTTGCTAGCTTTTGTTTTCAAACCCTGGTTGACACAGCAACGGAGTCCAAGCACAGACAGACTCAACGCACACACCAGCAATCCATACACACAAACCATTTCGTCTCAAAACTATTCAAAACAACCCGTGTTCTTCCTGAATTCCTCAAGAACACCTCATCCAACCACTGAAACCTTCCAACACCCACTCCGTCAGCCGCTGACTTGCGCCGGCTGGCAGCACCCTCCAGCCATCCCGCCTCGCGAAGCAGACGCGGTACTGCCAGAGACCCTTAGCAATCATTGCAGTCACAGTAGACTGATGTCCGGACCAACAATCTACCAGCGAGCACAAGGGCCTGCCAAGATGAGGGAACACAGCATGACACAGTTCAATCAGACTTCGTTCCTGAGTCCTTGAGTGGGGACAACACGCAACCTCTGAAACCACTAGTGCAAAGCCCCAAACACTAGTCCAAAGGTTTTTCGCAATGCATTGCAATCAAATGTCACTACAAACAGATTTCTTGATTCCCTCAAAGGCACTTTCAGACAGCTAGGGCAACACACAAACTCTGAAACCTTCCAACATCCAACCACTTCTTGGTCTTCGCAATCTTTGGCTTTACGCCCAAGGCTTTCTCCTCTCGCATCTTCGCGCTCGTTGTCTTCACGCGCAAGTCCTTGATCTCTTCGCGCAAGCAGGGGATAAGATTGCGGCGCGTGACAAGAAGGACGTCAGCGCCGGTCCATCCCTCGAACTTTGCCATGAGATCTACCTTCACCTGCAGGATGGCATCATTCACAGGATGGGCATATGCATGGACCGCAGGGCCAGGGAAACCATACACCTTGAAGGTGACGTGGATGGCACCACTTTCCACACGCGCACTCAGCGAACACTTCAGAACACGGAGAGCTTGAGCGGTCAAATATGCGGGCGCTCTCGTTGTTGTGACCTTCTTCATCACAAAAGTTGCCGCGCACCCCCGCCACCTCGTACTTCACTCTAAAAAGTAGCCATAAATCATAATCGTAAGGATTCGTAAGGAAAAGTGTTTTCCCAACGACATCCTGGTGAGTTGCCCTAGCCGCAAGCTGGGCAAGCTTCTCAGAAGACTGGGATCCGAGCGCACCCAATCCTCCGGGCATGGCATGGAGGGCTTTGGCCGCTCAGCTTGTATTGCCATCTGCCAGCCATACCAGCCTTTGATCACAGACCAGACGAGAGCAAAAGGCGAGCCACAAACGAACACAACACACTCTCTGCCAGGGTGCGAGCACACAGCCCTGCAGTGTGCTTAGCTACCTTGCAACCACCGTAAGCATAGTCAGGCCCATTGGCCAGGAAGATGTAGCTAATGAAGCAATGTGCGAAAAACAATGCGTTTCAATCTCAGCCAAGTCTCACAAGTGTATGCGACAGCACTAGTTTACACTTGCTCTGCCACCAACAAGCAGTTTTCGACGCACACAGCACTGGTGTTTTCAGCAAATCCCCACAACACTTGACCTGAACTCCTTTGATCGAAGGAGTGTGCATTCACACAACACTTTCACTATTGTAATTGGACCAACTCAGTTGATTTAAGCCCCTGTCTGCATCAGCGCTCACTAGGGTTCACCGTCATCATCATCATCATCATCATGCTCCTCCTCTGGCTCGTCTTCCCGCTCCTGGGCGTCCCCCTGCGTGTCCGACGTATCCTCATTGTCCTGCTGGCTGCCACTCTTCCTGGGCTTCCTGACCTTCCGCCGTCGTCCAAACTCACTAGATTCCTTGTCAACCAAACCTGCCACCCGCAGCCAGGACAGGTTCTCCTCTGAAAACTCCACCCACAGCTCCGCGCTTGTGATGGACCAAAGCACTCTCATTGGCACCGGCACGACAGAGCTTGTCGCTGAGGTGCTTGGATCACCACAGAATTGCCAGCAATCATCCAGTCCGCGTCTCGGGCTTGAGGCCTGTTTTCCTTCCCACTAAAAGAGGTGCAGAGTTCTCTGCCTCATCGTTGGCAAGAGCCACCTCGAATGCGTCTTGAGCGCGGTTTCGCAGCTTGATCAGATCATCGATGATCTTGAGGCGGCAGCTGTTTCCAGCCCGGCCTTGTCGGCGCTCACAGGAACTGACCCCCTCTCCCACTTGTGGATCTTGACATAGCGCACGCCATCCACATCAGCCGCGCGTGGGTACCACGGCTTTGAAAGTCCTTCCCGTGTGATGACAGTTGCGGTGGCAATCTTCACTGCAGCCAAGTCCGCCATGGTGCAAGTGTGTCAGCAACTATATTGACAGTCTTCACCAAGAAGCAGCACGGGGACCGGAGGCCTCATTTGTACCAAAGCGCTTGGCATCATTGATCGCAACCACAGCGACGAAAAAGAACTAGACGACAGTGTGGCCCGAGAGCATAGTAGACAGTATATACATATATCATATATGTGTGTAAATGTATTACGTCAATTGCTGTATATAAACACCCCACTCCGTCGTTTTTTGTCTCTGCTTGAAATTGTCGCCAGACCTTGGTATGCACAGTGAAAGTCATGAAACTCGAGAGTTGCAGAATAACAAACATTATACGGACAATCACTGAACTGAGGTCAGAACAGTTACTCTGATGATGAGTAAGAACTGTCAAACTAATGTCTCCACAGCTGACATCCAAAACCTGCATTTTATGACTCAAAAACTTAAAAATAATCTGGGCGTCATAGAATAGCAAAAATTGAGAGATATTCCATCTTGCAGCGCATTGTACTTTCACAGACTGCTGTCATAATCACCGAAGTGAGGTGTGGACAGTGAATGGTCAGAACTACCACATTTCCAAAATTTGATGCTCAATCTTGTTGCTGTATCTAGAACATCTGCGCGTTTCTTTTTCCGGTTTCCTATGCATATGTATACATTGAGTGGACCATTTCACTCAGTCCTTGTACCGCAGATTTTACAAGTGCTTGAGATAGTTCCTGTTGATACTTGTTACTGTCCTTGCGCCGCGGATCTTACAAGTGTTTCTGATAGTCCCTGTTCACACTTGTCACTGATCTGCCTGTCAAGTGACAAGTCATCGTGTCGTGTATAGTTCGCGCCCACTTTGCAGTGCAGATCGATTCACTATAAGCCCAGACTCATCAAATACTCTTCAAAATCTGGTCGTAATGGCGCAGCTGCCCATCCACGTGCGTTCTTACCAGAGCTGCTGCATACAGCGCTGACCCCCTGGGACTTATAAAAGTCCATGCATGGAATGCATTGAGCTTCGGCTGCGTACAGAAACATGTATTCTCATTCTCTGTGTCTTTCTCCAGCACCTTGATATTTCTGTTGGCGGCGCATTCTAGCTTTCTCAGTACAGTGTGGATTGATATCCGCAGCGGTATCCATGTCAAGACCATGGGAACCTGCAAGAAAAGTGTTGGCCGAAGAGGACATATTTCTTGGATCGTCCGACGACCTTGGTACTTCGGATCCACATGTTGGATGCGAAGAAGGAGATGGCACTGTGAGCTTGGTCAACACAGGAAAAGGTTCTGCGGCCGTTGATGATGGCACACAGCATGCTGGATTTGTCCGACGGTTAACATACTCCCTCTTTTGGTCGTTCATCCACTGTGTCAAGCAATTGGCTTCTTGTCAAAGCTCTGGCGACACCTTGTCCGGATGCCATTTGCGGCAAAATTCCTTATATGCCTTAATGACGGCATCAGTGTCATAGTCAGTGTCTCTCGCACTGCCTGGAAAACCCAGCTTCTGCAAAAAGACAGCAAAATACTGTGTCATGGCGGCGACTATACCAACGTGCTATAGATTACACACAGCTCTTGCTTTTTCGTTTGGATAATTCCCGTTCAAAGCGATAGATTTAATCAAGGTACCAGTTACATCACGATCCTGAGTCAAATATCAGGCTGAAACAGTTATCATACACTGGGGAAAATCAGCTGTAGCAGCACAGAATACCAAGAAAGTGATCTGACCTGGTATGACACTTTATGCTCATTTTATTCTTTGCCGTGCTCTGTACACTGCACCAAGAAAGTGTCACTAAGCACATCAAAGTTGTCGCTATCAAAAACTATTATACATCTGTGCCTCACATGACGGTTAGTCGCATGGCTCGCGTTAAAACCACCAAAATGTCAGTGCCTCAACAACAAGCTTCAAAGTTTCATGACCTCATTGAAATCTCAAATCAGCGATCCACATAACACGCTGGTCTTCCACAGTCTTCAATGCCCACATGACATACGGTCTGGCCTTCCATGGTCGCAGTCCAGGACGTTCCTGCAGCAGTGCTCGCACAGCGTCCTCTACTGTCAAGTTTCGCCACAAGATGAACCATGCGCACAGTGCAGCAGAACAGCGACTGATACCACCAAAGCAATGAAAAGTGGAACGAAAGCTCGTGTGGATGCCTTCTCCCAAAGGATAGAAACCAATGGTTTCCATGCTTGAAGACACATGGTGGTGTAACTCATATAGGCGTCTCTATCGGCACTTGGTCTCTTGATAGTTGGATCGTCCACATACCAGCAAATTAAATGTGATCAACAGTCATATCAAGGCAATATTCGGACAGGCTCTTTGGCATTCCTTGCACAGGCAAGTCTTTGCCACGGAGCGTCACGATATCTGAAACCATCACACTGTGAAGTCCATTCACAACTAACCAAACACCACCTTCTAGGAAGGCCATTGACTACGAAACTATTTTAACATATATAATATATATATATATTATAAACTATTAAAACCAAAAAACAGCCCTCCAAAAGTGTTTCCAGAACGTTCTCTCATCTAAACAACTAAGCCAAGGATCGAAGGTCGGTGGCGTGCACCATTTGCTGCGCCTCCACCAGGATCTTAATTGACTCCGCCTCAAGGCATCACATTGTTGGGGTGGGAGGCTGGCTTGAATGTCCTGAAGGCTGTCTGACTACTGCATCTGCTGCCTCTTATTTGTTGCAACGTGCAAATAGGTGGTTGAGCCAGTGTCAAGCACCAGTTTGGCAGGAAATCAACGAAGACTTGGTGAAAAGATCGTCCCGGAGCGATGACAGCTTCCGGATTAGGGTCTTCCGTCCCCTCCATCTTTACCTCGAGGTATTACACTGAACCGAAAGGCCTGTATCCGTTGAGGCAAGTTGGATGATATTGGTGTTGCCTGGTCTTTTTCATTTCTGGTGCGGTCTTCGAACCTCTGGGAATCGGTTTTGGTGGGGAAAGACACCCGAAGGAACCACTCAAGAGATAAACATACTGTCATTCCAACCCTCACGCCAAGGATCCCGCAGAATACGAAGCTTTTAAAAGGTTAGCACGCGAGCAACGCTTTTTGAATAGCAATGAGCATCCAGGCGTCCATGGGCTTTCCTCACAAACATCCGAAGTCGTTAACCATTCTATGGGTGTCTGCTTCGACGTGCTTCGACCAACCAGCCCGGGGATGAAATGAACAATACAGTACCACGTGTTCGAAGGCACGTCTTTTGACTCGGCCCGCCCTAACAGCATAGGTCCAACCACGTCCGTTCCAGCCTCCAGTTCCACAATCTGGCTGACAGGTTCCAGGATCCAGCGTGGAACCCCTCAGAGAGTGGGGATGGTCACCAAAAACACACATCTAGTATCATCTAGTCTAGATGTCCATCTAGACATAGCTCTGCAGATGTGGAAACAATTGAACACATCTGAAACAAATCTCGGTTCCGCTTCAGATTTTAAGTTGCACCTGTTTCGACTTAGAGGTGGCATAGTTCAGCGCCCGGCAAGCTGTCTCCATACCGATAGACTGGCAAAGTTGCCACGCCTCTCCAGGCCAGAGTGGGCTAAAGGAAGAAGAGAAGCGACTGAAAGCCCAAAGACTCAAAGACCAGAAAAGAAGCCGAAGCAATGACAAGTGAACAGTGAAGATGCAAACATGGAAGCTGAGGCACCCGCAAAGAAATTAGTAAAGTAATTGCATCGATGCCTTTTCAGGCTCTACAGATTCCAATTTCCATGAGCTGAGCTGGAATTGACAAGTTGAACTTGGGCATGCAAGTTCATCTAGGATGGGCCTCAAGTATCGACTATAAGAGCAAAGGCTGTCCTTAAAACACCTGTTGTTATGTCCTATCCCACAATTCATCACAATTCCACACTACTCCTGTTGTCTGTTTGAAGCGCTTTGTTGGTTTGCAGCGGTTCATGCAAGTGTAGTACCCCTGTCGATGCATTGGCACCAACAGTTCTATTAAACCATGCATATTGCATATCGGCATATTGTCACATGAAAGCACCAAAATGAAACCCCAAGAGCATGTTTCGATGAGCATGGCTGATAAAGATGTGTTTGGTCTTGATCATCGGCGCTTCGTCCAAAGACGTCTTTATAGCGTACAAAGGTCCTAGTAGATTCCTTTGCTAGTAATTACAAGTGCCTCGCTAGTAGTAACAAGTGCCTTACTGGTAGTAACAAGAAGCTATTAGTTTTTACTTAATTCTTATTGTTACTAGTAGTAAGGCACTTGTTACTAGTATTCGGAGATGGATGAGCGGGACGTGCGGCAAATGATCGGATTATGTCAGACCGTACCTGGAAGTTCTGACTCCAAACGATGAGGCCAAAATTCCCGAAGTTTTCTGCAATTTAAAGGACATTTGAACATAGGGACAGCTTTGTTTAGTTTATAGATTGGCACGGTCCCACCTCGAGCCCATGACATTTGGAATTTGAAGATGGCGGTGTCTCCCAGTGGCCTGAAGATCCACAGCCCCTGTGCAGAATTTGCCAACAAGCTTCACATATTATTCTCACACACACATTTTGTGCAAACGCAATTGAGCTACCTGGTAGAAAAAGTTTCGTACTCTTTGCTTGGGATGGAACATTGTTTGTTATCCATACTCCGGTAGTAAACCACGGAGTTTTGGATGGCAAAGAAAAATATCTGGTCATATTATCACGGCAGGCTCGGTTCCCACAGACCCTCTGCCCACGTTCTGGGGGACTGGCTTGGCATGTGCGGCACACCTTCGAACGGCTCCGAAGCTTAGAGCTCGAGATCTCCATAGATAAGGGGAGAAGGTGTGGTGTCTTGTTGGAGCATGGATGCCATCAGTTCTATACATGGAGGTGTCCAATATTGGAATGACAAAAGGTACACATCAAGCTTGCCTGGAACAAAAGGTGTTTGATCCACATGTAGAAAATATATCCAACAAACACCATCCAGCACAACAGCTTTGACTGGGATGCCCGGGCCCGCGAGCCACTATGACCTAAACTACTGACTTTGCCAGGTCTCGGTCCAGCTCGGGCCACTTGGTCATTTCACGTGTGACCCCTGATGGCCTCGAAAAAAGGACGAACAACCTCCTCCTCGTGATACGTCAAGGCCTGAAAGGTGACTCTCCCTCTCCCTCGCTCGCTGGCTCTCTCTTTCTCTCTCTCTTTCTCTCTCTCTCTCTCTCTCTCTCTCCTCTGCAGTGCTGTGGCTGTGCAGGCCCCTCAATTTGCCCAGATTGTCTCAGAATGGCTTGCGGATGCAAATTGAATCCTGTGCCCAGTTCAATTGTCAGGCAGTGCCCTAAAATCAACTAAAGCCAAGCAATGCAATACACCTACACTACTGACCTTGTCAAACGCTTGGTTTTCCGCGCAGCCTATACTCTCAGTCTGCCAGTGCTTTCAGACTATTGCACATGACAGCCCTGATGGCCTGGAGCTGCCTCATGTACTCCGCCAAGGAGATCTTCACGTGGGAGATCCGCTCCAACGAATCCTGCGCTTTACTGCACGGGTTCCTTGGTGGGGCTGTGGCACAGTGTTCCCTACGATGTGAATCCATGTCTGGGCCCCTGATGTTGGAAAGGAGGCAAACAATGTTTTCATGATCTTCGGGAGCGGCAAAGCTGAAGGACTCACTGTACAATGCCTACAAAATTGAGTGTCCCACTGGAAATACCATGATTTACGTACCAATCTAAAGGTTCCTTCGGGATTATCAAATGTCATCCAACTTGGCAACTCCACCAACTCTCCACCTGCCTGCGACATGAATCAAGTTGCAACAGAATTCGTTCACTCAATTATTATATATATATATATATTGGTTTGAAGGAATTTGCCCAGATCTCAGTGGGGTCACTAGAGTAGTGAGGTCATGTTTTTCCGACCATTTCCCACCAGTAAAATCAGCAAATGGGCTGCACCTCCAAAAAAGTTGTCTTGACATTCTTGATCCAGCATGTTTCCTCCTGGCAGCTGCATGTTCAGCCCACACTTGTACCCTCTGCCAGCACGGAAACGGGCTGCACCTCCAAAGAAGTTGTCTTGACATTGATCCAGCATGTTTCCTCCTGGCAGCTGTATGTTCAGCCCAAACTGAAAACCCTCTGCCAGCAAGGAAACGGGCTGCACCTCCAAAGAAGTTGTCTTGGCATTCTTGATCCAGCATATGTCCTCCTGGCGGCTGTGTGTTCAGCCCATCAATGCACCTTCTGCAAGTGTTTTCAATAGAGTAAAACAAGTCGGTGAAGAAATGCTACCAATCCTTTCAGGTGCCAAAATGAGAAACATGATAGCTTTTGTCTCTGATGACTTGTAGTTCTTTTTTTCAAAACCTTCCCATTATCTTCCAAGCAACGAGAAACACAGCTCAACCCACCCACCTGTCATCAAGATCCCTGGCAGCGGCCAAGTTTGTCAATCAGAGGTATCTTTGGGCGACACTGACTACAAGCAATTAGTCTCAATTTTGTCAACTTATGTTTTCTTCCCGGTCGAAGTGTCACTACCTCGTGCAGTGCACAGGTTCCTAAAGCCAAATGCCAAGTTCCCCTCACCAAGGCCCACTGCACCTTCCTCGCTGTCAGCTTGATGGGTCGTTATCAAGCTTCCTTGCATGAGTAGAAGTGCATCACAGAAAGATCAAGTGTTCAGCCAGCAGACAAAAATGTACTGTAATGCAATTGCCCGGTCTAAGTCTGTTGTTGCTTGGCTTCCGCTGATCCAGTGCTTGATCTGCATCCTAAATTTTTGTGACGCACTAGTATTAAAGTTCAAGGGAGACTCTCAATTCTCAATATTCTTAATGTTTGTCAAGCAGCAATCACCCAGCCCACCCAGCGACCTAACTTGACTAACGTGCACCTGGATAGAAGGCCATCAATGTCACCTGGGCAGAGAGGTCGCCCATTGCGGTGACTGCTTTGACCACATCCTGGTGCCTTTCCTGCCGGTCAGCGTGGTGTTCGGAAACTCAAAGGTTGGTTTCGGAAACTAAAACGTGGGTTTCGGAAACTGTGGTTCAGAAACTCAAACGTGGGTTTCGGAAACTGTGTTTCGGAAACTGGAAAGGTGGGTTTCGGCAACTCGCCAATTATGTTCGGAAACTGTGGTTCGGAAACTGGAACGTGGGTTTCGGAAACCGTAACCTGGGAACGTGGGTTTCGGCAACTGTGGTTCGGCAACTGCAGGTACTGGTACCTTCATCTAGCGGCTGGCGATCACGAACTAGTGCAGCTTGCATCAGGAGGGCGCGTCTTGGCAGGTGGACGCCAACGTGGACACACCTTCATATGTCTAACAAGTGGACATTCAAACCTTGATTGACACGCTGCACAAACTCTTCCCATGGCGCTGCACACCTATATACAGTAATGGATGTTACGAATGTAGTGTATATGTAAAGAACAATAACAACAATTTGGATTCCAGCCCTACCTACTAGCATGGCCTCCATTCTGCAGGCAAGTGTCAACAACCTACTAGCAATGGCCTCCAACCCTGAGTGTAGAAAGCTGAAGGATGCTGAAACATCATGAAGAGTCTACTTGAGGACGACGACGCTCTTTTCCATCAAGGCTCTTCTTGCGTCGGCACAGGCGGGGCCTGCATCGCACTGCGAAGATGGCGAGCCCTGGCGTGGAATCGGGGACGGCGAGTGAGGGAGGGGAGTCGCTCGAACCATCTGAACACGCACATTCTGCTGGCCGTTCCCATACATGACTGAGAGGTCACTGGCAAACCCCTTCTGATTCAAAGTTTTGCTCAGGCTTTAAAAGGCGCCTCATCTTTGGAGGCTTGAGCACAGGCAGCATCCCGTGCTTCCTGCACTGTTTAAAATTATAAGATCGTTTGGGCATCGGCGATATGAAGACACCCACTTCTGGACAGAGGTGTGCAGTTGGGTTTGTTTTTGGAACCTAATAACAAATTATACAAGCATAGACTCCAAACAGCTTTAAAACGATTCGTTTAGACCAAGAAAAGTCAAAAATTGATTTCTTGGTACGCCCTATTTTCACCCCAAGAGCAAACTGCTTCATCAATGAACTTTTGTCGGCATTGACATCGCTATTTGTTCGGCCACACTCCTCTCCAGTAAGCCGGACCACGTTCAGGGGCGCGGCCAAGACAAGGACAAGACCCGGACGCAGAGCCCAGCCTGTGGCCCGGCCAAGACAAGGACAAGAAGAGGACAAGGCCCAACCACAGAACCCAGCACAAAGGACAAGAGGAGGACAAGAGCCCAGTAAGCCGTCCATAGCACACGCGCGCGCGCACTCGCCCTGCTTTCTTTTTTTCTCTCTGTCTTTCTTTCTTTCTTTCTTTCTTTTCTTTTCTTTTCTTTTCTTGTCTTGTCTTGTCTTGTCTTGTCTTTTCTTTTCTTTTCTTTTCTTTCTTTCTTTCTTTCTTTCTTTCTTTCTTTCTCTATCTCTCTCTCTTTCTCTTTAAGTTTCTCTTTTTCTGTCAGTCTCTCTGCAGAGCGCGCCTTTCAAGGACAAGGCCTGGACACAGAGCCCAGCCACAGAGTTGACAGAGTTCAGGGGCGCGGCCAGGACGAGGAACAGGAGGACAAGGCCTGGACACAGAGCCCAGCCACAGAGTTGACAGAGTTCAGGAGGACAAGGCCTCCACACAGAGCCCAGCCACAGAGTTCAGGGGCGCGGCCAGTGAGTGTGGCCAGCTCTTTTCTTTCTAAGATAGAACCCCAACAGTAAACTGCTTGGGGTAAAAACAAAAACAAAAACAACAAACACCACACGACAATTGACCATGTTAGTAGTTTAGCACAGTAGCAGTTCAAACTGCAAATGCTACCAGTTCAACTGACAAACTCTGAACAAGTCAAGGTACATCTCATCAAGCCCTTGTTTTGGCCTGACTCAACAGGCTCAAATCGGCGTGTCCAGTTTTTTGCGGCAGACCTTGAAGAACTTGCGCAGACCCTGGCCTGGCCCGCCTGCAGCCTGCACTGATGGCTCAGTAACCTGCAGCGGCTCTGATGGATGAGTCGAAGTATTTAAAACCATCGAAATCAAGCACCGCCCCTAATATGTCATATTGCTAAAGCCTCGTACTTTTCTAATGGCTTCTTGTTGTTTCTGATGGCTTCTTGTGGCTTCTCCGGCGGCAGGTTGACGATCGCCTCTGTCACTGATATAAGTTCCTTGACATAAGTCTTACCTTTGTTGCCCTTCAGCGCATTGGCTGGAGGACCACGAGGAGCCAGCACGAGTTCGTAGTAGGTGCCTTCATCTAGCGGCTGGCGATCACGAACTGGTGCAGCTTGCGTCGTCTTGGCATTCTTCCTGCGACTCTTGACTATCTTGGCTGGAGGAGCAGGAGGGCGTGTCTTGGAAGGGACTCCAACGTGGACACGCCTTCATATGTCTAACACCTGGACATTCCATCCCTGATGGACACACTGCACAAACTCTTCCCATGGCATTGCACACCTATATACAGTAATGGATGCTACGGATGTTGTATATATATATATGTAAAGAACAATAACAACAATTCCATTCTACTGGCAATGGCCAACAACCCACTAGCAATGGCCTCCAACCCTGCTAACAAGCTTTGAGTTTACTGTCCAACAGTTTTCTTTCAGGGAGTGTAGAAAGCTGAAGGATGCTGAAACATCATGAAGAGTCTACTTGAGGACGATGACGCTCTTTTCCAGCGAGGCTGAAGTTCCCCATCAGCTGCACCCATAAGCGAGAGTCAAAGAAACCGCCATAACTGAACATGCAGAGTCTATCTAGCAGTTCCAGTATGTCGGCCGTTCCCATACATCACTGAAAGGTCACTAGCAACCCCCTCCTGATCCAAAATCTGTTCAGGCTTCAAAAGGCGCCTCATCTTTGGAGGCTTGAGAGCAGGCGGCATCCCCTGCTTCCTGCACTGTTTAAATTAAAATATCGTTTGGTGTGCAGTTGGGTTTTTTTTGGAACCTAATTGTAAAGAAACAAAACAACAAACACCACACGACAATTGATCATGTTAGTAGTTTAGTACAGTAGCAGTTCAAACAGCAAATGCTACCAATTCAACTGACAAACTCTGAACAAGTCAAGGTACATCTCATCAAGCCCTTGTCTTGGCCTGACTCAACAGGCTCAAATCGGCGTGTCCATTTTTTTTGCGGCAGACCTTGAAGAACTTGCGCAGACCCTGGTCTGGCCTGTCTGTAGCCTGCACTGATGGCTCAGTAACCTGCGGTGGCTCTGATGGATGAGCCAATCGGCGTTTCAATTTTCCAAAAAGGTCACGGTTGTATTTGGAAACTCGACGGTTGTATTCGTACACTCGATGGTTGTATTCGGAAACTGGAACGGTTGTATTCGGAAACTGGGATTCGAAAACTCCGCGGTCGTATTCGGAAACTGGTATTCGCAAACTACGCAACTATCCACATAAGCTTAATGCCCCTGCCCCACCCCCCCACCTCCCCGAAAATAGTTTCTGAATACGACGAAATAGTTTCTGGATACAAGAGTTTTTGAATACAACGAAATAGTTTCTGAATACAACGACATAGTTTCTGACGACCAGTTTCTGAATACAGTGCAGTTTCTGAATCCGACTTTGTTCCTTTCCTGCCTGTCCTCCGCAAATCTTGAAAACCGCTGGACCCCTACCAAGTCAATATTATAACAATCGCTATATATATACTCTTCAAAGGTGCTTGAAAATCATTTACGCCAGCATAGACCCCAGAAAGCGAAAAGACTTTTCCGGCAGCGCCAGCAGCAACGGCGCCAGCGGGGAGCGCACAGCAGCGGCCCCAACCGCACACAGGAGCGGCACCCTGCACAGCACCCTGCACAACACCAGCACCCAAGCTCACCCAGCTCTTCCTATACTTCAAGTAGGACACCCAATAGCTCACGCTTTTCCCGCAGCACCAGCAGCAACGACGCCAGCACTCCCAAGCGCACACAGCAGCAGCACCCTGCGCAAAAGCTCCCAAACGCACACAGCAGCGGGACCCTGCAGCGGCGCCCAAGGTCGCAGACGCACGCACGCAGCTCTTCCTATACTTGAAGTAAGAACCACAATAGCTCAGGCTATCTGGAAAACAATACAAAAAGTGCTCCAGAATACTTCAGTTAAACTAAAAAATGTAAAACCGGAAAACAACTGTCAACAAAAATAAATAAAATCAACAACTTTAGTTTTGGGTTTGTTTGGATTTCCGTGGAAGGAAGGAGTCAAACGTTTGAATCTAAACCAACCTGTCACAACCTACTTTGATCACGCAAGAACATGTACCCTATCATCAAGGTCTGACAGAACCCTGAGAGCCCTGAGCCCTCACAGAGTTGACTTTCACCATAAATATCTTGTTGGCCCGATGAATCAGTGAGACAACGCAAGCCCAATGTTGTCTCCCAAAACGAAGAATCCCACATTCACACCAGCTCTTGAAAGAGATGGAATCACCTGACTCCTGCTGAGCTTGCAGCAGTCACACAAAAGCTGGCCTTTCCACAAGATAATGTCAGCCATAGTCCTTGAAAGATTGCAGTGCGTCTTGAGACTATGGCCAGGCTCGCGCAGGGGAGCTTGAAGTATTTGTACCAGCGCTACCAGTCCTACTGATACTAGTCCTACTACAACTACTACTAGTACAACAACAACAAAAACAACCAGACAAACACACAAACACACAAACAAACAAACAAACAAACAAACAAACAAACAAAGAAGCAAAGAAACAAACAAACAAACAAACCAAACAAAACAAAACAAAGCAAAGCAAAGCAAAGCAAAACAAAACAAACAAACAAACAAACACACAAACAAATCAAACAACAACAAACAAACAACAGCAAACAAACAACAACAAACAAAAAACAACAACAACAACAACAA